AATATAATTTTATAAAAAATAAAAACCAACCCTCCTCATCTCTTTGATCTTTTCTCTGTCTTTCTCCTCTTCTCTTCCCCCTTCTCTTTCCTCCGCCCTCTATTTCTCTCTCTTCTCGTTCTCTTTCCTTCTTTTGTCTCTCCTCCGCCCTCTCTTTCTCTCTCTTCTCCTTCTCCTTCCTTCATTTCTCTCTCCTCCGCCCTCTCTTTCTCTCTCTTCTCCTTCAATTCTCCTTCCTTCATTATTTCTCTTCTCCTTCTTAGTTCTCTTCTCACCGCCGCTGCGCAACCAACACCACCACCACCGCCTTCTCCTTCCTTCATTTCTCTTCACGCCTCGCAACAATTCACGCATGAAACATCAAAGAACAAAATAAGGTTTTTCATGTCAAATTCAACCATGAAAACTCTAGATCTAGAGTTTTCATGGTCGAATTTGACCTTTAAAACCCAAATTCAAGCCAATTTCGGGGTTTTGATGGAATCAAGGTAAGTTCTCTTTTCTCTTTCTCTTATTTTGTTTCAGGTTTTGCTTGAAACATCAAAGAACTAGCCCTTTTTTCTGGGTTTTGATTTGAAATTCTTGGTGTTGATTTGGAATTTTGGGTTTTTGTATGATGAGATTTGGAATTTGGAACAAGCCCTCTTTTTGTACGATGTTGATCTAGAGTTTATTTTTGTTGATTTCGTTCTTTTTTTGTTTAATTTTTATAGATTGATTTTGTTGTTTTTTGCTTGGTTTTTTTGTGGGTTTTTATGTGATTTTTGTGGGTTTTTTTTCTTCGAATTACTTAGTTTTTTTTTGGTTTTTTTTTTTTTTTTTTTTTTGTTTTTTTTTTTTGTGGTTTTTGACGGTTGTTGGTGATGGGTGTTTCACGGTGGTAATGTTTTCTAGTAATGTTGGTGGGGTTTTGATAGGGTTGGGTTAGGTGGAATGGTTTATGGTTCAGTGGTGGTGGGTGGCGCTGGGTAGTCTGGGCTGTTCTGGGCTTAGGGTTAGGGTTAGGGTTAGTTAGGGGGTACGGTGGTGTAGTGGTGGTGGTCTGATGTGGGGGGTAGTGGCGGTGGTGGTCTGATGTTGGGGTTAAGGTTAGTTAGGGGTTGGTGGTGGTCATATGCCTTGCCGCTGGTGGCGCGACGTGTTTTTTTTTTATTCATTAAATCAGCTTTCGACATAATTTTCCGGTACCGGAATTCCTCTTCCGACGGAAAATTCCGACAGAAATTCTGTCGAAAAAGTTCTTCCGACGGAATTTCCATCGGAAAAGGTCGTTTTTCCAACAAATAGGATTCCGACAACCGGTTCCGACGGAAATTCCGTTGGAAACGGGTTTTTCGACGGAATTCAGGTTGATTCCGACGGAAATTTTTTGTCGGAAATGGCCTGTTTTCTAGTAGTGTCTATTTGGAGCCAATCGAGCAACATCGCTTTTGTCCGGAGCCAATTGAACAACATCGCTTCTTTTCAAAGACAATCGAATAATGTCGCTTATGTTCGGACACATCGAACGATATCATTTGCTTCTGTTTGTAGACAATTGAACATTCATATCCCTTCTCTTCTATGTAGGGCTGGCAAACGAATCAAGTCGGGTCGGGTTCGTGTTCAGGTCAACTGGTTTCGGGTTAGTTACCCCCAACCCGAACCTAATCCATTTAACTTTTCGGGTTAAAAACCCCAACCTGAACCTGATATTTTCGGGTTCGGGTCAACCCGAAAATGACCTTGTTTAACCTGATTTTTTGTTTAATTTTAAATCAAGGTGCTTTAATCTGAAATTAACCTCTTCAAATAATAATCTGATATTAGGTTTCGTGCTTCAATTAGGTTAATCGTATAAATTATATGAACAAGACCATATAAATTTGGTAAACCGCATAAATTATATCAACAAAACAACATCATAAATTAAAAATAGAATTTTAACTGTGTTAAACTTGTAATTTAACATGAACAACAACAAAAATCTAAAAGCAAAACAATACAATAACGTACAAAAAAAAAAAAAAAAATTGAAATCAGCAAACTACATTATAAATTGATGAAGGTGTTAAACACTTGCAACTTAAAACTTGATTTGCGTGAAGGAGAGGAAGACATGAAGGAGGAACACTTGAACTTGCAAAGGATTTTAGAAATTGATTTCTTGTGAATTGAAGAGAGAGAAAATTGAGAGAAGAATAAAACATGAGACTATGAGAGAGAAAGTGGACTTCTTATATAGCTGATGAGAGGAGTGAGAGTTTGAAAGGATTTAGGGCTTTCGTTTTTATATGGACCTATATATGGGCTTGGGATAATTTCATTAGGTTTCTTTAGGAATTATTTTACATTACTTATCCAGGTTTTGGTTATCAGGTCGAATTCGGGTTAACCCGGCCTGATTTTGACCCAAAAATATTTCGAGTTATGTGGGTTGTTTTCAGGTAGGAATCTTTAACCTTAACCTAACTCATTTAAAAAAAACATTTGGGGACGGAGGAGTATAAATTTAAAATAACATTAGTGACTTGCAGAAGACGCAATAAAATGATCCTATCCTCTTTATCCACCATATCATAGTGCTTTTCAAAGTTGCACGGCTAATCATTTGTTGCTATTAGTTGATTACTACTTCTAGATCTATTATTGAGATAGCAAAATGTTGGGTGAAGGTCTAAATTAAGTAACGTAGTCAACTGACAAGATAAAGTATGATTTTGATTCTAGGCCACATTTTAGGTGAATCTCTAATAATCTGGGAAATTCAATTTCTAAAACTGGTATATTAATTTCTTACCCTTGCTATACATAGAAAAAAAAATTTGTTACAAGTAACAAAACATTTAAGTCACCTGGTTTTCTTTTTTTCCGCATGTAGATCAATACTCCTACTATTGCAATAGAGATGAGTGTTACAAATAATATTATTAAAGCCACCATTGTCTTTGAATTCTTCTTCTTGCAGTGGTTTGACATACACAGATCTGGATTGCCTTCCAATCTTATGAGACGAGGGCAGGATTGGGTGAGATAGAATGCTACATGAACTATGATTGTGAGAACAATTATAAAACTACTACTCCCTCTGTCCCTTATTTTTTGCCCCATTTGACTTTTTACGGTCTCCAAGACACGTCTTCAAACGCATATATCTCCATTTCTATACGCGTAATAATTATAAAAATTTGATATTAATAAACTATACAATGAGACAATTCTAACAAGATCCCACATGAATAAATTATCACTTATACATCAATGAGAATTCATGGTCAAAGTTTTAAAAGTTTGACCCATATTTTTACAATGGGGCAAAAATTAAGGGACGGAGGGAGTATCAATACATTATTTTTTCTTATATAAGATAAACTATAAATGACGTGCATAAGATATAAACTTAACCTCAATTTTATTGAGCCATCCTCTGCCTTCTTTCTTAATGCTACCGGAACTGAACCAGTGAGCATATTATATCTCAAATCTCTGTTGTAGGAGGATTTAACATGGTCAACTGCATGCATATCTCAGGTTTGAGGAAGTATGTTCAGCAAATTAAAAAACTTACATGGTACGCAGAGACGGTAACTTAGCCAAAAAATCAGGTATAACTCCTTTAAAGTTATTATATGAAAGGTCCCTAAAACAACAATAAGCATAAGGTCAAGAACACATATCAATCTCGTACATTGAGAATACTAAGAAAAAAGCAAACAATAAAGTTAACAAAAACCTATATTATACATTATGAAAAAAAAAAAAGAAGAAAAAAATTGTAGTATAAATGTGATTATATTATTTTGCATACCTTAGACTTATATATGTTTGATTTATGTATATCATATACACTACTACTAAACCCACTGATTTTCGACGCTATGCCTTCGACGGTTTCAATAGGGTGTCAGTGGAAATTTTGGTTCCCGCGTTTTCTCGACGCTTTTCAGCGTCCTCACTTATTGTTGACTTAATTAGGTGTTTCTAATTATTTGATTTTCATAACTAGTATACATAGTTGGAGTTTATTTGGGATTGCTCTTCTTATATTGGCCTCATTTAATTACATATTTTGTAATTGGAAATAAGTCCAATTCTTTCTCAACGCATGGTAGTAATGTCGCTGGACATTATTAGTAAGGATTATTAATAATATTATATGGACAATGACAAGGACAACATGTATATATCATTAAGTTTCATGTACTCTCCAAAACATATGAAGTATAATTTCTCTACTCACTCCAATTGTATTCGATGTCTTCCCTTTTTTTGCCGATAGTATTCAGGTACAACCTTACCTTTTGTCTTCTGGATTGTTTATAGAGTTTTTTTTTAATACCAATTATAACTAGATAAATATCAATCTCTCATTTTGGCCCTCTCTCTATCAAATTTGGCATACTCAATCTTATTTTTCTTTGGTTTGATTAACTACGTTTTCCTATAAATATAGAAGTTGTTTTCTGGTAAACTTCACCTTGCTCATTCATACTTTCTATCTTCTTAGTTTTCAAAAAGAGTCGAGAGTCACATTCTACTTTAGTTGATAACTTTCTTATTTTCTTTCATTAGAGTATTTCTTTCTAAGAGTTGTAATTGGAGATTGGGAGTTTGAGTGAACTCTAGAGAAGTATAAGAGTAAGAGAGAGAAGAGAAAGAGAAGAGAAGAGCAGTAAGTTGAGGGACTTATTGTTGGGAACTCTAAGTTTGTTGAGGAACTTGGAGATAGAGTCTATACCTTGTAATAGATTGATTGCCCTATTCTAGTAAAGAATCTTTCCTAAAATCCCAAGTGATCGTGGTTTTTCTTCTTGTTAGGACCAAGAAAATTTCCATGCTAAAATCTCTTTGTGTGACTTTGAATTCCTTTAGCTTAGTTTTTACATTTCCGCAAAAAGTTGTCAAATTCCTCTAATACTAAAATTCACCCCCTCTTGTAGTATTCTTCTTAAGTAACATAAATGCTACAATACGATTTCTAATATTAATTGAATTATTATAATATAATCTTTAGTCTTAATATATATTTTGACAATTCAAACATTAAAGTAAAACTTTAAAGAAGTATCACAATACTGGGAACTTATTTAGGAGCTTATACACAACAATTCAAATTACAGAAACTTATAGTAGTACATGGATACTGATAACACGTTTCAATAGAAGAGTTCTTCTATTTCAAAGATTAAAGTGATTTTCCGATATCATTTCAGGTAACTACCTTGCTGTTGGACCCATTTCAATCGATGTATCGGGAATGGCAATGTCAGTAGTAGGATAACCATATTCATGGCTGTCCATCTCTCTATTTTTTCCTTGGGAAATCTCGATCGCTAAACAATCATTCAGATCACTCAACACTTGGTTCATGGTTGGCCTTTGGATTGCAGTAGATGATACACACATCATAGCTATCTCCAAGGCTTTCCATGCAGAGTTGGTGCTGAAATGTCCTTCCAATCTCTTATCGACAATAAGTTCTATATCTCCACTCTCAAGCTTAGGAGTAGTCCATGTAATTATGTGTATGGGTTCAGCATTATTGCTTTTCACAATTGGTGATTGCCCTGTGATGAGCTCCAACAAAACAACCCCGAAACTAAACACATCGCTCTTCTTATTAAGTCTTTCAGTGCTATAGTATCTGTAACACAAGACATTATGATAATCACTCGTCATACTAAGGAATTGAATTCAATTGAATAGTCTAGTATCTCTTTCACAGGCTTATAAATTACACTACATAATATAAAAGCATCATAACTCTTTTTATTAAAGAGAGGATAGCATGCAAATGAATTGCAGTACAAATGAAATCAAGTATGAGAATTGAAAACTTACTCTGGATCAACATAGCCATGTGTTCCCATAACTTTAGTATTCAGACCACTCTCAGTACTTTCAATAGAGAAACTTTTGGAGATGCCGAAATCTGAAATCTTGGCATGCATGTTCTCGTCTAATAGAATATTGGAAGTTTTCATGTCTCTGTGTACTATAGGAGGTTTACACCCACTGTGCATATACTCCAAACCTATAGTTACAATATTGTTATCATTTACACAAGTTAACCTTGTACAATGTATAATCAAACAATATCAAAAACATTTTCTCAAATGAAATTATAGTGATTCATATAATATAATCAATTGACCTTGTGCAGCATCTATGGCGATTTGTAGTCTCTCTTTCCAGCATAAAACCTTATTATTTTTATCTGCAACTAACAAATGGTCATATTTTGTTATTACATTATTCATGCATTACCGTCCAAATGAATAAAATACCAATTATACATGTTTCGTACAAATTAATGTCGTGGTCACAGTACTTCATATTTCTTACACCCTTTAGTACTTTTAGTAGTATGTTAGCAATGTTTACCTGATATATATTGTTGCAGGTTACCATTAGTTACATGTTCATAGATGAGTGCCATGGTTGCGCCTTCCTCACAATATCCTATGAGAGAAACAAGACATCTATGATGAACTCTTGTTAACAATTCAGCCTGCCATTTAGAAAAAAGAATTGTTATATATTTTGTTGTGGTAATTTATATGATGCGTGGATTATGCTTTCTTTTGTATCAATCTCAAATTTAAATATTATACCTCTGTACGAAACAACTTTAAACTATGAGTGGATGGATTGATCATTTTAACAGCCACAAGAGTGCCATGTAAGGAGCCTTGATAAACTGCTCCAGATCCTCCTTTTCCAATAATTGTTTGGAAATTATTTGTCATTCTCATCACTTCCGCGTATGTGAAACTCCGACTCTCAAGCTTTAATGCTGCATTTTTTATGTATCTTGCTAAACAATGATAAAACATAGCATAAGCTACTGCTATAACTACAAACAAACCAAAGAAAAAGCATAGTACTAAAACCAGACCTTCCTTATTAACTTATTGCATTTCACATAATAATCTAAAACAGGCTTTTGCAGTCTTTCCTTCAGATTTGATATATAAGCCGCATGCATTTTCTATTGCTCAAGAATGAAATCAATTATGACAAAACTAGAGAATCAATATATAGCTTGAATGACACATTTTTTAAGTTTTTTGTTGATGATTCCATGACTACTCATTATGTTTTTTCTAAGGTTCCATATTGCAGTGCGATTTCAATATTACTAGACTTAAATAATGGTGTTATATATTAGCCAGTGGATCACTGCTTCGATCAAGAGCTATTCCCGATTTCAAGACTTCAATTATGAATGATTTCAAGCCATATTATTTAAGGTGAAAGGAATTCAACTTCTAAAATTAGTATAATGTCTTTAATTTTAAATAATTTATACCCTTAGAATAAGTACCGAAAACTTTAATATACCTGCTTTCTTCCTTTTAAGTATACAAATCAATATTGCTATCGAAATAAAGATGAATGTTATACATGCCGTTGAAGACAAAATAGCCACCATCTTCTTTGAATTCTTTTTCTTACACGGGTTTGACATACACAATACGTCTGGATTACCTTCCAATCTGAGAAAAGGATACAAAGTTGGGAGGTGGAATAATGTTAAAACTTCAATTATGAGAACGATTATGATTATTAAAAAGTTCATTGCTTGGTTTTTTCATATGATAAAAATTATACGTGATAGCATGGAATATAACTTAACCTACCTCAAAATTACAGAGCCATCTTCCACCTTTTTGCTGAGTGCTATCGGAACTGGACCAGTGAGCATATTACTTCTCAAATCTCTGTTATAGAAGAATTAGACAAGGTCAACTTCATGCATATCTCAAGTCTGGGAGAGTTGGTTCAGCAGCTTGAAAAACTTACATAGTATGCAGAGATGGCATCTTTGCTAGAAAATCAGGTATTGCCCCTGTAAGATTATTATATGAAAGATCCCTGAAGCAACAAAATTCACAAGGTCAAGAACACCTATCATACCACAAAACATGTCATTTCACGTGTATTAGCGTCAGATGCTCCATGTCATGTCATTTCAACTTACAAGTAGGTTAAAGCTGTAAGAGCAGACAATGAAAGGGGTATATCTCCAGCCAATCCACTGAAAGTCAAATTCCTGGCATTCAATTCAATTTAATTATAGACACTAATATATTTATCATGTCAAATCATTGTTTAACTTCAAAATGGATATGTTTAGACTCACAAAGAAGTTATTCGAGGGGAATTATGATCATTGCTGCTGCATTCTAATCCATCCCAAGGAACATAAGGTAGACAAGGATCCCCTTGCCAACTCTCCGGCACTGAGTAGTTCATCTTGATGTTCATAATGGCATTAACTGGTAATAACGAAGGCATAAGTAGTATTATTGGGAAATAAAACTCATTGATGAATAAAAACACACTAATATAAGAATTCTTTATCTTTTTTTATAAGCCTTAGCTTACCATCATTCTGGTCTGTTGGTAATGCTGAGAGGTCCACTACTTCATATATCTCAAAAGCGTTGAGAATGGGAGGGAGTTTCGACCTTTTTGTCTTCGTAATGTGGAACACAATGCCAGATCCATTAATCAATGTAATTACAGGAGAAACAATGGTTAATGGTTGCAAATATTTAGGACTAATCGTTTCTGACTGATATTTTCCAGGTATTGAAATAGTAAACTCTCTTGATTCATTGCTTCCCAGTTTCTGAATTTCAGCAAAGTGCCAGTAAACACGTACTAATCCAGTATTTGAGGATCCCATATTCCTATAGTAATAATTTAAGGGGATAGTGCTATTAAGAGGAAAAGCAACTGTCTTTAAAACTGAAGGTGGTAACTCATAGCGATCGATGAACGTAGAATCCATTGATTGACTAGTATTTAAAGAGCCCCAATCCTGCTGAAAATTAGCTGGAACTCCGCGCCATAGTCGATCATATGGATCATCAGCTACACTGAAAATTGAACATACAAGTGTACAAGATTTCTATATTGTGTTAGCCATAATGATCAAAATAGAGACAGCAATAGAACCTAAAATGAAGAAGTATGTATTTCTAGAATCTTAATAAATCGTAATACTATCTATTGTTTCCTTTTTATTTATTTTTTGCTTTGATTTAGAATTTGAGGGAATTTTCCAAATAGTAAATTCTCTTGATTCATTGGTTCCTAGCTTCTGAATTTCAGCAAAGTGCCAGTAGACATATAATAATTTAATATTTGAGGATCCCATATTCCTTGGGAGATTCATCAGATAACTTAAGGGGAAAGTGCTATTAACAGGAAAAGCAACTGTCTTTAAAACTGAAGGTGGTAACTCATAGCGATCGATGAACGTAGAATCCATTGATTGACTAGTATTTAAAGAGCCCCAAGCCTGGAAATTAGCTGGAACTCCGCCCCATAGTCGATCATATGGATCATCAGCTACACTGAAGATTTCTATATTGTGTTAGCCATGATGATCAAAATAGAGACAGCAATAGAACCTAAAATGAAGAAGTATGTATTTCTAGAATCTTAATAAATCGTAATACTATCTATTGTTTCATATTATTTTTTTCTTTTTTTTTTTTCTTTGATTTAGAATTTGAGGGAATTTTCCAAATTTTCCCATTATATGATATAAATTTATTAATAAGTTTGTTATTTTTCTAACTTTTCACCACTGCACATAAACTTTTCCAAAAAAAAAAAAAAAAAAAAAAAATCTTTTCCAAGTCATTAATACTTGATTTTCGTGTGCTCCCGGTTAATGGACCTACCCTATGTCTCTATCACTCCCTTTCTGATTTTTTAAAATATTAATTTTACATAACTTTTAATAGAGTACAACTAGGCGCATAATTGTTATTTGTTTAGGATGCATATAATTGGTAAATTTACTTAATTTTTGTGATTTTTTATTGCTACAGGGATATTTTTAATGTACTATTTTACTTATAATGATATTTTTAATGTACTATTATACATGTATTTATACTACTAGAGTATAAGTTGTTTTAGTAGTACTATTTATAGCCATTATAGGTAATAATGGTACAATATTTGTACCACTAGAAGAAAAAAAAAATTCATCATCTTTTGTCTTATATTTGCTACAGTTATGCGTCAATACTTAACCCTTTCCAATGAGTATTTCCTGTTAAGTCTAATTAGGTATTTATCCGCATTTACACCAATTGAATAATTATATGAAGTTCATTTCTCTGTTATTTTGGTACATACATACATACATACATACATACATACATATATATGTATGTATGTATGTATGTATGTATTTATGTATGTATGTATGTATGTATGTATGTATGTATGTATGTATGTATGTATGTATGTATGTATGTATGTATGTATGTATGTATGTATGTATGTATGTATGTATATAAGTATTTAATAAATATAGTCAAAAGAGATCAATTTTATTTTTTCTAAATGATCAAAATTTATTTATTTAATTTTTTTTTTTTGGTTGGTAAGGAGAAGGGTCCTATCGGACTAGAACCTCTCACAGGTTAAATGAACAAAGTGAGTGCTCTAAGAATATTAGATTCTTTGTATACATTGCTAACAATCAATTAAACATAATAATGTTCAAAGATGTGAATTGTCAAAGGTGCATAATTATTTAACCAAATACACAAAGAAAAACAAATGGAGTACAGAGTATCAAATTTCAGTGCGTGTGATGTGTGCGTAAAATAATAAAATTTGTATGGACTAAAAAAAGGATTAATTGTATTTTACCACCCCTTAAAACACTCTATTTTGATTTAATCATATGTTTTTACTTTTATTACATTTAACCATCCACAAAAATGCAAAAAAACTACATTTTAACACCTAACTAAAAATTATCGATTTTCATACCAAAAATTGTTGTATTAAAGTTTTTTGCGTCATTTTGGTTCGTTGGGTCCAATTTAAGTTCAAAACAACCAAAGAAAGTACCGAATGAAATTGCTTCACTTTTTGTGTGCCACGTAAATTGATGTAATAATTTGTTCTTAGCACACAAAATAAGGCATTTTCCAATAGCATTTTTTATTTTTGACCACAAATCAAACATATAGGGTCAAAATGACCCTCAAAACCTTAATAGAGCAAGTTTTGTCACAAAATAGGATGTTTTTGGTTTAGGAAATCAATGAACAGCATTGTGTAATTACCAGCGTCGTCTCTAACAGATTTTTTTTTTTTTTTTTTTTGACAATCACTCTAATTATATAGGAAGAACATTTACAGATAAATTTATTATAAGCATTAAAGTACAAAAAAAAAAAAAAAAAAAAAAAAAAAAAATCATAAGCAGTGGTGTATGTAATTCGATGAAAGTAAATAAAGGAACAAAACACAGGTACCTTATATAGGTATTCGAAAAGAAGCCAGCATCCATGCGCGCACGTTCCAATAGTGCACCATCACTAGAAGTGTAAATAGAGTCGTTCAAAGGATTCAACTCTAATGCAGAAATAAAAGGTGTGGTTGATCCTGTTTTCACCAAACATACATTTATCCAATCTTCCGAGGGAGTGTAGATAAGTTCAACAAAAATCTTGTTTGCGCCATCATTTAGGAAAATGGTTGTCCAAAAATGAACTCCAATATAAACATCAAATTTGGGTATGGTGTTTGAACCATCATAATTTCCATAGAGGAAACTAGCTCTGATTAAGTAGTATCGGTTCTTGCCTTGTAATGGTTTCAAGGTGTAACAATTTCTAATTCCATCTGGGAAACTTCTAACTGTGTTGTATATTTTCCCACCATCATCATTATAACTTGAATAGGTGCTGTCGACTTCTCTATTTATTCCAGTTTTAATGAATCCGGAATCAGAGATATAATGTAGTCCTCCCGTATTGTCATATCGTGATTGTGTCGTCATTCCACAATCAATGCTGATGAAGCCTTCAAATTTTATATATTGCGAGGAAACCACCAAAATTAAACAACCAGATGCATTAGCAGTGACCATGAAGTAAACTCTAATTTAATATAGTAAAGGAAAATTCACTGTAATAATCCTAATTATCGGGGATGTGAGAAGGCAGGGGGAGCAACACTCAAGTTTTTATTTTCCGGTGAAGGGGGAGGGAAGGGAGGAGAGTGTTTTAGGGGGTGGGGTGGATCGGCTGGGTTGTTTGAGAGACTAGGGAGGGCCGGTTGACCATTTTCAGGTGGTTAGGGAAGGTGGCTGACCGGTTTTGTTGGCTTGGGTTAGGCCTAGGGTTTCACGTTAGGGAAGGAGGAGGGGGGTGGCTGGGAATGGTTTTTTTTTTTTTTTTTTTTTTTTTTTTATATTAGAGCAATCACATACTAACACGTGGCTTTAAAAAAAAAATATTGTACCCTTTCAGCAAGTTACTGATTGAAACTACTAATAGAGGCAACTGATAGCAAAGTAGGGATTATTAGATAATAATCCTTAGTTGGGATTATTAAGAGTAAATCGCCCATATTTGAGATTATTAATCAAAGTAAAATTTTCCGTAAATAAGGAATACAGCAATTATTTCCACTATCCACCCTCATCAATTTATCTTAGTTCTTGACTTTTGCACGTAAGGCTCTTTTACATGAATACCCCAGTACGTAGAATATATAACTAATTATACCTTTTTATTCCTAGGGGTAAAAATCAGTGTAATTTTCATGGCAGCAGTTTTTAGCAGCATAATGCAAAAACTTGCTCTGAAGTGAGAACAGAGAACCACAGAGCAGAGGAAATTAATACATAGAGCAAGATTTGGATTGAGTATACTGTAGTATATATCAAGATATGTGTGCTTTAATTTTGCATGTTGCTTATTTATATTTTTGATTGGGAAAAAATGAGTATAAAAATGTCATGTGAAGCTATTAGTTGGAAATTTTATCTATGGTTGAAAATAAATATATGAAAGCCTAAAAATATAGGTAGTACTTGCAATAATTTAAAAGGGTAAATACAAGTTTCTCTTATTGATTAACAAGATTGTATCTCAAGAGGGTAAATTTTGTAATTTCGACAAATAAGTTAGGGTTAATATTGTAACTTTGTAGAAGAATGGAAGAAGGTAGAACTTCAATGGAGATATTCACAGCTTCAATGGAGGAGGAAGCAGATTCAATGGAGTAATCGAAGCTTGGGAAATAGTTTCAATGGAGGATGACGATAACCTTTTCCGTTTGGGGTTAACCATGCCCTAATTTCTCTATTTTTTCTTAGGGTTTTCGTTTAATTCGTCGGCGAAGCCGTCGGAAATTTAGTGGTGGAAATGGTGGTTTATGCGCAGCTCCAATGGAGGAGGAAAGCATGAGTAGATGGAGGAGGAAACTAGTAACAATGGTGATTCGCGAATTTCGATGACGGAGGTAAACAGGGAAGATGAAGGAGAAGAACAGGGAAATAAAAGTACAGAAAAAAAAAAGGTACAGCAGAAAAAATATAAAATATTAAAATTATTGATATTATTTACCATTGTGCCATCTTTGAGAAACAATTATTTTGTTTCTCAAGAAGAGAAACTGGGGCAGCCCCAATTTAAAACATCATAATAACTAATTGAATGTATAAGCTACTAAGCAAGTGATTAGGAGAATAATTATACCTGCAGCAACTCTTTTATTGGCTAACAAAGTCCAATTTGCAGCATCATCAGCAGCCAAGGAGAAAAGTAATCCATAGTTGTAAATCAACAAGCATAGCATTAGTATGTTGATGGTCTTCAAGGCCATAACCCAAACCCGCAGCATATAATTTTATTTTATTTTTTTGAATCAATAATATTTTTTGGACTAAAAAATTTCTTAATGTACATTCAGGCAATTAGTTACGTTGGCATGCATATAATCTCTATCAGCATGGACTTATATGAGACTCCAGGCCACTAATTTCCTATTAACTTGACTTTGAACCTTCTTTCACCACTCGATAAATATTATATTTACAATTCAGTTGTATTCTTGTTTTGGTGCGTCAAGTCATGAGAACTATGCGTTTACTCGTACAATTACGACTTGGTAAACGGTAATGTTAATACGTACGAAAATTAAAGACACTAAATGCCCACATGCAATAGTACGTACGCTTACCATAAGAGCTTTCTGTCTTTACTCTTTAGCGTGGGCTCTACTCTAAGCAAGGGTGCAGAAACCGTGTGTATGTCTAAACGACGGAAAGCGAACTTTTTTTGTGGTAAACAAGACCGTGTAAATGGGCAGCTCTGACATGTTAGTCAACCCAGGAGGCAAGACCGTGTTTATGTCCAAGAACGGAGCCAGCAGGAATTGAAACTCAAGGAGGCCAAAATGTATATTTCCTTCGTTCTGTAACAATTTTAATATTTTGACTTTTATACTATTAATAAGCTTACTTTAATTATAATTATAATTATTACTAATATATAAAAGCATATGCCAATCTGCCATATAATTTATTTTAAGATTAGTTTTTATGTATTTTTTCATTATACTAGTTGTGGGTGCACCCGCAACGCGAATGCCCCCCAATTTGGTGAAATTAAACTTAAAATAGAGAATGTGCCGTTTTTTTTTTTTATCATTATAGCGGTATGTAAAAGCTTTTATCATATCAGTCTTAATCTTATTAGTGTGGGATGCATATGTCAAAAAGAACGGAAGAAATTGTATTGTTATGTTTATTTTAGGAACAAAAAAGGTAACAGTAACAATTTATATCGGAAAAGAGGATAAAATCATTTAGTAATGAAGTTTACCATTGTTTATTATCAAACTAAAAAGTGGATGATTAGGTTTAGTATAGCTTAGTATTTTAGTTAGATTGACTAAATATAATATTTTGTGGCAAAATATCGAAAGTGGATATAATTAATTTTGAGGCTGATAATATTAGTTGCTTAATTGACTATTAAATAAAAAAATGTTGTTAGATCAAATTAAGTTAGGAGGTTGTAAAAATAGTATTGAGTTTTGTTAGGTTTTGGGCCTAGTTTTGAATAGTAGATTATTTGTGTTTGGTTACGAATTGCCATTTTTTTTTTTTATGTCTATCTTTTGTTTATGTCTTTTTCAAGGTTGTTTGATGTTAATTATGTATGCTTTGTGTTTATTAAATGGTAAGTTTGCTTTAGATTGTTGACTGAGATTTATATGTTTCTTATAGTTTGATTAATAAAAGTTAAAATAGTAGCAGCAGATTTATCTGTAATCATATCAATCAAAAGGCTTAATGAAAGATTGAGTAATTAGAAGGCCATAATCTAAACAAAAATTATTTGTAATGTTATGTGTAATGCTAAAATGAGTGTATATTCTTTGACTGAATTTACTTGTAATATACGTATCTAATTTAGTGAGTGTTATTTTTTTTTACTTAATTAAAAGTACAATTTTATACACTAATGTAATGAGACTTCATAAATAAAATAAAGAGTGTATATGAACTTGATTTCTGATCTTAATAAGTATACAACATGATAACGTTTCACTAATTATGAAATGTTGCTAAGGAATTTGTCTTACAATAATATTTGTAGCTTTTTCTGGGAATTTATGTTTTTGATACATTGAGCATTTTAAGTGATATCAGAATAGATTTATACAAAATAGAATAGATTAATACCTAAACATTGTAAAATAAATGTGTTAAATAAAATAGAGCTAGGGTTCAAAAAAAAAAAAAAAAAAAATAGAGCTATTTGTAATTTAGAATAGTACATAGATTTCCATACTGTAGTATAACCTAGGCACTTCCAGAATTTTTTTTGCCTAACTTTGTATTTCCTTTAATTGTTTTCCAAGTATGCGAAAGAAGTTTCCTGGTTGTTATGGGCATTGTTAGGTGTTCTTGAGGTGAAGGCATCATTTGGTTTTGCATCTACAATGGTAATTTAATAAGTAGAAGTGAGAAAATCTGAAGTAGTATTTAGAATATTTGGGAACTTGAGAGACTAATAATGACTGAAAATTTCGGTTTCTAATACTTATAGGAAATGACTATTGTTACTATCTTGGACTCTTTACCATCTTAGAATTTGAATGATGCTTTGGTAGCAATTGATTTGAGGAATTAATGGATATTTTGGTATAGAATTAATTGTTATAACAAATAAATTAGCATGTATATAATACATATTTATAGACTTAATTAAATTATATAATACGATTGATTTAGATAAATATTTAGGGTAAAATATGGGAAGTAGATAAAATATAATTTAGATTTCCATAACATTAAGTGGGTAATAAAAGATTATGTGAAAAATAATATTGGTATATAATAAGTGGTAATAAGCTTATAAGTTAAATGTATTATTAGTATTAAAAGTATGTGATTTTTTTTTTTTTTTTTTTTTTTTTTTTGTGGTTTTGCTGATATTATAATTATATTCAAATTGTTTTTATGGTTTTGTTGATATTATAATGTCAATTCATGTTAGATTCTCCTTTATCCTATTATCACTTGCCTAAAAGTTCGTCCTATCTCTTCTTCACTCATTGTTGTTGTGTAACCTCTCTTTTTCTGAGCCAATTGCTCTGTTTTTCTTATGTGATCTTACTTAACTAGTCTTTCTCTCTCTAAAGATATAATTGCCCTAATTTCTTAAGTGATCTTTCTTAAGTGGTCTCTCTCTTCTAAATGTATTGACTTGATTTTCTTAAGGCCATGCTTGGATTGGGGGTAATATATTAGGGGGTAATAGAAGTCAAACTTGAAAAAATATAAATAATTAGAGGTGTTGTAACTATTAGTAATTCTTGCGTGGACCTGGTCCACAATAATATTATTATTATTGTGGACCTGAGATTTATATACACGCAGAACTAACGTTATTTGGAACATAGTGACCGTAATTTTAACATAGTAACCTTTATTAAAACTTGTGTGACCTTTAATGTTATTTCTGTTTACTTCTCCAAAAAATTAACCTCTTATAGCTTTATAATGTCACAATCGCTTATATTTCAACATAAGAACCTTTATTTTAATGTAGTGACCTTTTTTTTATTAATAAAACAATCATAGTATCTCTAATGTTAGTGGTTCACAATAAATTTCTGTGAACCAGATCCATTTAAGAACTTGTAATGAACTACATATATATATTTTTCTTTTTTTAGATAATGTAACATTTGGTTATATATGATATTGATTTTATTTATTTATTTATTGTTAATAACAGTTTCTAAAGCTGAGTCAATAAGAAATTAAATATTTTTTTTAATGGGCAATAATTTATCATCAAATTTTAATTTTACAACTCATGATCTTGTTGAATTGTATGTAGCCTAAGTACAGGTCTAAAAAAAATTCAGCAACAAAATTTGTTGTTGCTGAAGTAAAAATGTTTTTAACAACAACTATTATTGTTGCGAACAATTTCTAAGTACAGTCCAAAAGAAATAATTTTTGCAACAAAATTTGTTGTTACTGAAGTAAAAATATTTTTAACAATAGCTATTATTGTTGCGAAAAACTACTAATCACAAATCTGATAATATTAAGATTTGACAACTACATTTTGGCAACAAAAATGTTGTAGCGAAAGAACTATTTTTGGCAAAGAAAGTAATTCGTTGCAAATACCTTTGGTAACGGCATCATGGATAACAAGCCAAAGTCGTTGCCAAAAATTCAAACTTATTGCCAAAGATAATTTTAGTAACAACTTATTTCGTTGCCAAAAAGCAAATTTTTGTAGTACGTATACTTAACACAGTTCCCATTTCGTCCGTCCCACAATACATGACACGTTACTAAATATGGAATAGGATCACTAATAAAATAATATTTTCCCACATTTTCTCTCTCCTCATTACCCCCACCACACCCCCACTTATTATTTTATTCCAATATAACAATATAAATCGAAAATCTTTTATATAATAAACAAACATTTAGAATGGACTCACTTGTAGTTTTCTTAAATTACGTGTCTATCCCAACGTCTCAAGTATTATGGGACAGGGGGGGGAAGTATCGTTATCAATAAATATACAGTATAACCATTGAATATTAATAAAATATTCATTCGACAATTCCAACAGTACTATACACACAAGACTATATTGTTTCATATCTATGTTACTCTTTAAAGTGAACTCCCATTTTTGGTTGGGAATTTTTATTTTCCAAAAATACCCTTCTTTACAATTACTTATTTACTAACAAAACTTTTCATTTTAACAGTTATTGAATTACAAATAATTAATAAAATTATTAAAAAATATATAAAAAAATTGACGGTTACTTTTTTAATAAAAAAAAAAAACCAATTTTTTTCTTAAAAACATGCGGTTATCTCACATTATCCATACAACAATTAAGCATTGCTTAACAACTGATTTATAAAAATAAAGAAAAACAAAGCATTTCTTTACAACGTGATCTCCCCCCACTATCAAATTAGTGGTAAACTTCCTTCGGAAACAAAATATGTGAAAACATTAACCGCTCATTCTTTCCTCATCTAAACTCTAATTTTTTCATTCTTCACTTTATATTAGTTCCTATGTGTCATTTACAAGATTTACAAGATTACAAAAGAAATGTAAAGTATGTACAAAATATTTACTTATTTTTTGGTTTCCAATTACAAGAGAAGTTTTTGCTAAAACATTATGATTTCGTTACATTCATATTAATCATTTTCATCTTCTTTTATTTGTAGGATATCAGTTGCATACGCTTCTTTTATGTATTTGAACCCGTACTCTAAATTTTAAAATGTGAAGGCAAGGATCAATAGATTATACGAAACTCAACATGTCAAAAATAATAAAAAGATTTGTAAGATTGTTTTTATGGATGCTACGGTATGTAAAAAAAAATTTTATACTTTCTCTTTACAGTACATTCTTATTATATTATTTTATTTTGTTAAATATAAGATATGATTGAGTGGTTAGATCAAGATCTATGAAATTTTACAGTTTATTATCTTTCTTTTGATCCATATCATCAAATAATCTATCAAACCAAGTTTTTACAGTGCATTTGTTATATTATTCCACAATTACATACTTACTCATTTCTATCTATTTTCTTAAAGGATGAATTGGACCCATTCAAGATGTTATATTTATAAAGGATGTTGATAAATGTATATACGAAGTACTCCATGTAAAGAAATGATTAAGTACATTTGGAGGCCGGGGATAGTCGTGCACGCATTGCGTGCGCCTCTAAACTTGTGTATAATCATTATCATTGATTAGATGGTCAAAAATTCAAATTAGATAAGTGCATAGTGGGAAAAAAAAATCAATGTACTCCCTCAGTTTCAACTGGGGAGATGTTGAGGTGGACACGTAGTTTAAGAAAAATATAAGTGGATTCATTCAAAACATTTATTTATTATATAAAAGATTCTCTTTTGTATTTTTATATTGTAAGAAAACCAAAAGTGGGGGAGGTGGGGGTAGTGGGGGGAGAGAGAAAATATAGGATTTAATTGAGTTTTGGAGTTTGTAGTCCCAAGGAGAGTATAGGAAAATATTTTTTTTATTAGTGGTCCCATCCCATATTTGACTCGTCAAGTATTTTGGGACGGACGAAGTAGTGGGGAGAGAGAGAAAATGTGTCAGGTATTTTAGGACAGAGCTGAGGGAGTAACACTTAAAAGAAGAAGCTAAGAGTAATAGTAATAATAACAATAACAAGTGCTCCTAATCAAGTGGAACTCTTTATGAATTATGAGTACTAAATTACACGCACGTTCCAACATACACACAAGAATATAATGTTAGGTTATTTTCGAAAAGTGTTTTTTTCGGGTAAAGTAATTAAGCCTTAAATCAGTTAGGTCATTCAAATTAGATAAAGTGCATTGTTAATTTTGGGTCGGGTCATTTCGGGTTGCTTCGGGTTTCATGTCCGTTTGGGTGAATCAATTCGGATCAAGATCGGGTCGGGTCGCTTTGGATTTCGGGTCGCTTCGGGTATCGAGTTAACTTCGGGTCGAGTTAATTCGATTAGGGTCAATACGGTATCGGGTCAACTCCACTTCAGGTCGGGTCTGTTTCGTGTCCGGTCAATTTTGGGTTTACGTTTTCGCGTTAATTTCGGATCACGGATTGGGTCATTCGGGTCGGATCGTTCGAATCGAGGATTGCCGGGTCTAATTGGGTGGAAGATAACAATCTAATTGACGTAGGATTTGTTGGTCCTAGTCATATATGGCTTAGAGGAGATACCTCTTCTACATTTAAATCAGCTACATTAGACCGCTTCTTTAGCCAACAAAGACTAGTCTAAAGTTTGAAGAGGGAACAGTTCGATATCTTCCAAGAGCGTGTTCTGACCATTGTCTTATTATTTTGAGTACTTGCAGTTTTTCCCCTCTTAGTCTAAGACCTTTCCGCTTTCAATGGTGTGACTTATACCTATATTGTTCAAGAATATTAGAGGGTTGCTGTTACAGTTACTGATTATATTTTCATAATTTCGTTAACATTGGGGGAGGGGGGTTACTACTAGGGGAGGAGAAATGAGATGGGGTGGCTGGTTGGAGTGTTTTTTTTTTTTTTTTTTTTTATTTATTTAAAAATTTATTTATATATTAAATAGTTATGTGTGAGTTAGAGATTAATTAGAAGAAATTAGAGATTAATTAAGTGAATTAGAGGTACTAGGTTGTTTTCAACAAACAAAAAAAAAATAATAAAAAAAATTCCAATAAAATTCTCTTTTGCTAAAAAGCTTTTAAAAGGTGTGTTTTTTTTCCACAAAATAGTGATTTTAAAAAGTTTTTTGTTTTTTGTTTTTTTACAAAATTTCCTAATTATTACCCATATATTAATTTGTTGGTTGGTCCAATAATATATTTTAGCTAGTAATTTCAAAATTTAAAGGAAAAATTGTAAGCCCAATAAAACCTGAATATATCATTAATCAACAAAGATTACAAGACTTAATTAATTAATATTGTTCCTGGACAATATTTTGTGATTAGACTAAAATTTTTACATAAAAGACATGATCTTTAAACATGTTTGTGACACATAGTTTATGAAATTAAACCAAGGACATAAAAGCAGCATGTTTTTTTTTTTTTTTTTTTTTTTTTGACAATAGCAAATTATATTAATAAAATCAGAGTTTACAACATACGAAATAAAAGCAGCATGGTTGAGTACTTAACAAATTTTTTTTTTCTAAAAGGAAAAGTTTATAAACCCTAGATTCTAATCTTCTTTAGCAAACTCGTAGTTGTGAGAATCTACATCATTCTCTAGTTCTTTCCCTCCATACAAACACATTTGTCTTCCGATTTTCTGTGGGGGCAGTTTCTAGACGCTCTTTGATCGCCTATTATGGGGACGTCTCGACGATATCTTTCCTTCTTTCTGGTCCTGGCTTTATGTATTCTTCTTCTGGAGTACGCAACTTCTTCTTCTCCTCACACCACTTCTCATACTCTTGGTAATTTCTTACACCAAGGTTGTTGTCGTTTCTAATTAAATCTTCATTCCTTAAACAATTTGTGGCCAATTGATCTCTTGGGAAGACAGATCCCATAAGTATTGTTATGATCATTCACGACACTAATTATACTCGTAGTTAGGATTTTGGAATTAGAAAATGTACGTGTTAGCATGGGTGCTAGTTAAATTAACGCTGTAATATCAATGATAATTGTTACAAGTAGGTTTCTAATATTAATTGTATCATAACCTTAAGACTTAAAACATATTTCTCCAGTTTATATATTAAAGTAAAACTTTAATGAAATATCACAGACTCGTAGGGAAACTTGTTTGCAATTCAGGACCTCCTACACAACAAGTTAAATTACTAGAAAATAGTTGAATGTTGATACTATCAACATGTTTGACTACAAGAAATCTTTTATCTAAAGATTATCCCGCATCATTTCACTTAACTACCGTGCCATAGGACCCATTTCAATCGATGTATCAGCAATGGCCATGTCATGATTGAAGTCAATCGTAGGGTAGCTATATTCATGATTATCCATTTCTTGTTTTTCTTGGGACGACATCTCAATGGCTAAACACTCATTCAAATCAACCAACACTTGGTTCATGCTTGGTCTTTGTATCGCAGTAGATGATACACACATCATAGCAATCTCCAAGGCTTTCCTTGCAGAATTGGTGCTGAACTGTCCTTCCAATCTCTTATCAACAATGTTTGTCAATATCCCCACTTTCAAATCTAGGAGCAGTCCATGCAATTACGTGTACGAATTCAGAATCGATCACCTTCGTCTTTTATTGTTGATGAGTGCCCTGTGATGAGCTCCAATAAAACAACCCCGAAACTAAACACATCGCTCTTACTATTTAGTCTACGTGTGCTATAGTATCTGTAAAACAAGACATTATGATAATCACTTGTAAAAATAAGAAATAATACTGGTGCATTACACAAAACATATTTTGTAGCTGGGCTTCTTATTTGTTCTAATTACATAAAGAATTACAAGTAGGTGATCGATAATCAGTACGTGCATGCATTAAAATTTTTTAATCAAGTATGAGACATGTAGACTTACTCTGGATCAACATAGCCATATGTTCCTATCACTTTAGTAACCAGACCACTATCAGTACTTTCAATGGAGAAAGTTTTGCATATGCCAAAATCAGAAATTTTCGCGTTCAGGTTTTCATCCAATAAAATATTGGAAGTTTTCATGTCTCTATGTACTATAGGAGGTTTGCACCCATTATGCATATATTCTAATTCTGTAATAATAATTGTTTTATCAATAATCTTCACCACAAATGACGAATACACTGAGTTATGTATTGAAACTTTGAAAGTGTTTAGAAAAAGATACGAGTAACATATAAAGTAGGAACTGTATTTGAAGAGTTGGATAGAGTAAGTTTAAAAGAAAGTTCCAAAGGTTTTCTTTTTGTGTTTCTTGACTTTTTACTATTCTATATATTAACCGATTTACAGCAACAATATTTGTTGGGAAAAATTAAAAAAAAATAACAAAATGAAAATAGTTTCTCATATGGAACTAAGTAATGGATAGAGAGCGACAAAAGATGACTTGAGTGCTTCAAGTTATACAAACTGACCTTGTGCAGCATCTCTAGCGATTTGTAGTCTCTTCTTCCAAGATAAAACCTTCACATTTTTCTCAACATCTAACCAAATGAACAAATTTTTTTATCACATGCATGCAAAAATGAAAAGTATTAATCGTATCTGAAATAATTTGTCACGATTACACCTCAAGTTACTAGCACATCTCATGATCTAAAGCCTAAGCAGAATTATTTATTGAGTTGTAAGGAATATTTACCTAATAAATATTGTTGGAGGTTACCGTTAGCTAAATATTCATAAATAAGTGCCATGGTTGTGCCTTCCTCACAACAACCTATGAGAGAAACAAGGTTTCTGTGATGAAATCTTGTTAACAGTTCACACTGTCATTCAGAAAACAAAGCTGTAAATTTTTTAACGGGATGCATAGATTGTGTTTTCTCCTTTCCGGATCCCAAAGGTCAAATAATGTATGTTTAAATTTAATACCTCAGTATGAAATAATTTCAAACTAACAGTAGATGATGGGCTCAACATTTTAACCGCTACAGGTGTACCGTCTTGTAAATAACCCTGATAAACTACTCCAGATCCTCCTTTACCAATGATTGTTTGGAAATTATTTGTCATATGATTCACTTCTGAGTATGTGAAACCTCGAATCTTCAACTTTGATGGCTGTTTTATGAAGCTGGCTGCAAAATCCAATAAAAAAGCACTATAAACAAGACCTTCTTATAGCCACATTCACTTGAATGATAAGAAATTAAATTTGCTCAAGGCTTTCATAACTTGCATTTAAATTTGGCAAACAACATTCTTCTGTTGCTCAATATTGAAATAAACATTAATGTCTCATTGTCTTGTACTCTTGTAGAAGGTGCAATAAGCTATGTGATTTTTCCTTAGCCTCCATATCCAAAAGGAAATAAGCTGCTTTCTCCTATGAGTTGTACAGTGTTGTGAAGAATATATTTGTGTACCGTTGCATCCTTGTTTTATGTTCAATGATTAGACCTAGTTGGTTATCGTGATTTTTTCCTCTAGTGACTATTTATTCTCAGCTTTGTTCTCTTGTAATCCTGAGTTGATTGGATATTTTGATTTACCCTAATACTTTATTCTCTCCCTTCTTCTCTACTATTCTTTTCTCTATTTTTTATCCTCTTGCACCATGATATCTTACTCTTTATTTATGGCATCAAGCCACTGGTGAAAAATCAGGATATTTGAATATTAAATCTGGTAAGCTCATCTATCCAAGCTAAGATTGCCATTCGGATCTTAAAACCTTAGTTTTTTTTTTTTTTTTTTCAATTCGAATCTTTAAATTGTGGCAACTGATGCACATATTGTGTTATACTTGCACCCAAATGATGGTTCTTACTCCATCTCCATTGACAAGTTAACGTACTAGTGCTGAAGTTTATAGATCATAGAGGAGGTCTATGGAAATTGCTTTCACCTAAAACAAGAAGATATGTTTTGTTCTACGCACAGTCACTACTAGAAAACAGTCGATTTCCGACGAATACGTTTCGGCGAACATGTTTTTCCATCGGCAAAATCAAAATATTCGACGGAATTATAATCCGTCGGAAATTTTCGACGAAATCAAATATTCCGTCGAAAATTTCTGACAGAGTATCAATCCATCGGAAAATATATACTTTTCAACGTTTATTCCGTTGTCAATTAAAATTTTTGACAGATTTTAATTTCCGTCGGAAAAATTCTGTTGTAAATTAAAATTTCTCACGGATTTTAATTCCGTTGGAAATTTCCGTCGGAATATATATCTTTTTTTTAAAAAGAAAACCCTAAACTCTCTTAACCTAACCCGCCACTCAGTCAGCCTCCTTCTTTCTTTTCGCCTCTTTCTTCTTCTTCTTCTTCTTCTTCTTCTTCTTCTTCTTCTTCTTCTTCTTCTTCTTCTTCTTCTTCTTCTTCTTCTTCTTCTTCTTCTTCTTCTCTCTCCTCTAGTCCTTTTCATTCTCTGATTCTCTTTTCTCTTTCCTCTTCTCTTTTCTCCTATCGTCATCTTCTCCTTCTCCTCTTCCCTTTCCTCTTCTCCTTCCTCTCTTCTCTCGTCCTCTTCTCCGTAAGCCCAGATCTAAACCTGCAAGTTATTGAGATTATTTATTTTAATTTTATGGTGATGTGTAGTTAAACTACGTTGGTGGTGGCTGGTTTTTGTGTCAGGAAACTGCGGTGGTAGTGGCTGGTTTGCGTTTGGGGAATTGTGGTGATGGTGGGTGGTTTGTATTCGGGTAATTGTGGTGTAGATCTAGGTTTAGGTGAGTTTAGGTCAGGCTGTCAGGGCTAAGGGTGAGGGTGGGTAGGTTTAGGTTGGGAAATGTAGTTGGTTAATTTGGGGAAAGAGAAAGAGCTAGAGGTGGGGTGGGGGTTGGCTGGTGGTGGTGGTTTGATGTGGGGGGCAAGTGGCAATGGTGGTGTGGGGTGTAGGCCAGTGGCGGTGGTGGCCTTTTTTTTAAAAAAAAAAAAAAAACATTTTCCAACGTAATTTCTGTCGAAAATTTCTGGCGGAATTGTGTCCGTTGGAAATTTCCGACGGACTTTTCCGGCCCGGAAAAATCTCTTCCGACGCCTGAATTACGACGGAATTTCCGTCGTAATAAAAAAAGGTTGTTTTTCCTACAAAAATGTTTACGACGACAGTTTTCGACGGATTTCAGGGTGTTTCCTACGGAAAAATTCCGTCGGAAATCGCCTGTTTTCTAGTAGTGGGTTCTCAGATCCACCTATGCAGATCGAAGATCTTGTCAAAGCAAATCAATGGGACACTTATAACTCTATGGTAATATCTTAATTAGATCCATGCTTTTCTTTTTGATACTCTAAAAACTATATGCTTTATGTCAATATTGCTAGAGAAACATGGGTACAACTTGATAAACGTTTTTCAATGGCTAGTGGATCTAAAATACAAGTTCGTTGAACAACGATCTGTATCAGCTTAAGCAAAATAGCAATCCTTTTAATGTTTTATTACACTACTATGGCTAGCTTGTGGGAAGAACTACTTGATTCAATGAATGTCTTGCTTGTGATATCTGGTCCACATAATGAAGTTAGAAATCTCTTGATAGAACACATTAGCTAGAAATGAGGAAGCGAATAGACTAATTCAATTCCTTAATGGTCTTGATGACCATTATGGTTCCTTGAGAAATCAAATGCTCATGGTGAACCCACTACCCACAGTTAAATCTGCTTGCTATATGCTTCAGCAAGAAGAAAGTCTAAGGGAGGTGTTATTTCATAGAGCCAATGACATTGAGAGAACCAATGTCTCTTTCTCTCACTGTTGTGGGAAAGGACATATTCAGAGTAAGCGTTGGTATGTCATTGGATTTCCCAAACGATAGTTTAAACCTGATATGTTGTGTTTTGTGTATATTATTTGACTTGTTCTTAGTTAGTTTTGCTAGTTTAGTTGAGTATTTGAGTCCGTTTTGGCGTATTTTACTCTAGTTTGGATGATCCGATGCTTTTATGGGTAGTTTTGTTGTTTTTGATGATTTTCAGGAATAATGGAGCTAATTTGGATGAGTTATAGATCCACAAAGTAAGTCAAAGCCCATGGATTTGGAGATTGAAAAAAAGTCAAGAAAATGGCGTTTTAGAGGTAGGCACGGCCGTGCCTCCCCATTAGGCACGTCCGTGCCTCTGTGTTTGAAGCTGCGCCAAAGGAAGACCCTAGGCACGTCCGTGCCAAGCAGAAGAGGCATGTCCGTGCCTAGGTAAAGAAGCAGGCACGTCCGTGCCCAGCAGTCAGGCACGTCCGTGCCTGGAAGACAGAAGCTAGATGAATTTTGTTACGCCCAGAGGCACGTCCGTGCCTAGCAAGGGGCACGTCCGTGCCTCCTGGGATTCTTGTGCGCCAAGGCTTAGCCGTTTTTCTTATCTTTTTAGGCTCATATAAATACTTTTTAGCCTTGTTTTTCTTGGCTATTCATTAAGCCTTATTTTATTTTATTTTTTTTATTCTCTCCTTAAGAACTAGTTTTGCATTATTATTTTCTAAGTTTTTGTAATTCAAGATTCAAGATTCAAGCTTTCTACTTTCAATTTTATTCAAGATTTGGTATTTATTTTTCATCCTTTGTTATTTAATTATGCTTTCATTATTTATTATTGTTTTTGTTTCTTTAATCATGTGTGAGTAGATTCTTTAATTCAAGATCTAGTGTAGCCCTATTATTATTGATGCATGAATTAAATCTTTAAATTCTTTAATAACTTTAACAATTGAATTGCTAAATTGATTGTGATTATGCCAATGCTAGGTTAGACGTAACTATAGTATTGCGATTATTCCATTGTTTTTATCACAGCGAGAGTTGGGTATAAACGGATTTGAGTAAATTAATTTAGGGTTTGATTCGTAACACGAGAATAGTTATATTTGATAATTGGGAAGTGAGAGTAACGTGTTTAATGTCTTTAATATGCATGATACCATGAGAATAGGATTGATTGTATGTTAGGGAAGCCATTGATACTCGAGAGAGATCCTTGGTATTTATTAGGGTTTACTTTTCCCCGTTCGATTGAAATCGTATGTTAAGGGTAGAATTACAATTGCATCGATAATAGTTGTGGTGAAACTAGATCTTGGATGTTTTAATTACTTGAATTCTTCATATTCTTTAGTTTATTTTCGAATTTTCCATACATTAGTTCCTTAGTTAATCGATCATTATTGATTCTTGCTTAGTAGGAATTCGAGTCTATTTAATTATTTTTGAACCTTAGTCTCTTGGGATCCGACCCTTACTTGCCACTCTACATTAGTATTGGTCTGTTAGGTTATTTTTGATAGGTACGCGACACGCCTACCAAATTTTGGCGCCGTTGCCGGGGAAAATTTACTTTCTAATAAATCCTATATTAGATTTATTTCAGCTTTTGGGTAGTTTATTTCTTTCTAGTGTCGAATAATATACACAAAACACAACATATCAAACCCACACGCATATCTCTACAACTTGCAGACAGGTCAGTGAAGTTTCCTTTGGGTGTACTTGAGGATGTACCCCTCCGAGTAGGTAAGTTTTTCATTCCATGTGATTTTGTTGTGATGGAGATGGATGAGGATGTGAATGTTCCTATCATACTAGGTAGACCTTTCTTAGCTACTGCAGGTGCAATTATAGATATGAAGAAAGGTAAGATTACTTTTGAAGTAGGTGATGAAAAATTGGAATATTCACTTTTGAATGTTATGGGTGCTCCTTCTATGGGAGACACTGTTTGTCAGGTTGATGTGCTCGATGAGCTGCAGAATGAGCAACTTCCCTTGAATCAGAATGTTGATGCTCTTGAACAAGTGCTCTTAGGGAAGGAAGATGATAATGGAGATTGGCAGTCTAAGGAGTATACCAGGTTACTTGATGAAGCAAAGGCCGATCCATATCAGAACCAGATCAGAGAGACACTGGAAGTAATGAGTATTGGGGAGAGTTCTAAGCCTCCCGAGGTAGAGTTGAAACCCCTCCCCTCTAACTTGAAATATGCATATCTTGGTCCAAATAACTCATATCCTGTTATTGTCAATGCTAAACTCAAAGACACAGAATTGGAGCAATTACTTAACATTTTGAAAACATATAAAAGTGTCATTGGGTACACCATTGATGATATCAAGGGTATTAATCCTTCTTTCTGCATG